ACCCTCCTGCTGCCCTTAGGTCGGTATGCAGTAAGGCCCGTTAACGCATTCCTCCGGACGCTAATGCTAATGAATCACTACAGGAGCTTCATGATATCATCAGCTCGCTGCAGAACAAACACCCCGAGACTCTTTACGTTGTAGCCGGAGACTTTAACCACGTGAATCTAAAGGACTGTCTCCCAAGCTTTAATCAGCATGTGACGATTCCAACACGTGGAGACCACACGCTGGACCGTGTTTACACAAACGTAAAAGATGCATACAAAGCCGCACCCCGCCCCCACCTAGGACTGTCAGACCACATCTCAATCTTCCTGGCTCCTGCTTACATGCCCCCGCTGAGACGCTCCAGACCGGTACAAAAGAAAGTTAAATGTTGGAGCCAGGACAGTGGCCCCATACTGAGAGATTGTTTTGACCGAACAGACTGGCAGGTTTTCAGAGAAGCTGCTGAAAATCGAGGTTCGCTTGATCTTGACCAATACACATCCTCAGTACTGGGTTACATTAGTACATGTACTGACACCGTCTCCACTATCAGAAATGTTAAAAGCTACCCAAACAGAAAACCTTGGCTGAATGCAGAGGTGCGTACCCTGCTGGAAGCCAGGAACACTGCCTTCAGGTCTGGAAACTCAGAGGAGCTGAGTAGGACAAGAAAAGAGCTGGTTGCTGGTATTAAGAGGGCCAAGGCCACATATGCAAAGAGGATCGAGGGTCAATTCATCTCACAAGACCCTCGGAGCATGTGGAGGGGCATTAAGTGCATAACAGATTATAAAGGAAGGAGTGAACAATGCCCCAAAGACCCATCTCTGCCTGATACCCTCAACAAGTTCTATGCACGCTTTGAAGACCCGAACAGACCACCCAGCACCAGACTCACCTCGCCACCGGATGAAGAGCATCTCAGCGTGACCTCAGCAGAAGTAAGGAGTACCTTCAGGAGGATTAATCCGCACAAAGCAACTGGCCCAGACAACATCCCCGGAAAAGTGTTGAAGGAATGTGCTGATCAGCTCTGTGAGGTGCTGGCAGACATCTTTAACACCTCACTTACCCTGGAGACAGTTCCCACCTGCCTGAAGACTGCCACCATCATCCCAGTCCCAAAAAGCTCTACAGTGACTGGTCTGAATGACTATCGGCCAGTGGCCCTCACCCCGATAGTTGCTAAATGCTTCGAAAAACTGGGCATGACTCACATCAAAACAACCATCAACATCAACGAGGACCCTCATCAGTATGCATACCGTGAGAACCGATCAACAGAGGATGCAATCTCCTCTGTGGTCCACACTGCGCTCAACCACCTGGAGCAGAAAAACTCTTACGTCCGTATGCTCTTTGTGGACTTCACATCCGCCTTCAACACCATGATCCCCCAAACCCTGATGGACAAACTATCCACACTAGGACTAAGCCCCTCCATCTGCAACTGGGTACTAGACTTTTTAACAAAAAGACCACAGTTAGTGAGGATCCACAACCTCTCCTCCTCCACCATAACCCTCAACACTGGTTCTCCTCAGGGATGTGTGTTGAGCCCCCTTCTGTTTACTCTGCTCACATATGATTGTGCAGCTACCCATCCAGGCTGTCACATTGTAAAGTTTGCAGATGATACAGCGGTGGTGGGATGCATCACAAACAATGATGAGTCCAGCTACAGGCAAGAGGTGGAACACCTGGAGAGCTGGTGCAGAGAGAATAACCTTCACATCAATGTGAAGAAGACAAAGGAGATGATTGTGGACTTCAGAAGGAACAAAAACACCTACACCCCCCTGAACATAAGAGGATCTGCGGTGGAAGTGGTCTCCAGCTACAAGTACTTGGGTGTACACATGAATGACAACCTCAGCTGGAGCAACAACACCACCAGCCTGATCAAGAAAGCTCATCAGAGACTCTACTTCCTCAGACGGCTGAGGCGAGCTGGTCTGGGAAGCTCAGTCCTCACCTCCTTCTACAGGTGTGCAGTGGAGAGCATCCTGTGCTCGAGCATCAATGTGTGGCATGGAGGCTGCACAGCTGCAGAAAGAAAAGCTTTGCAGAGAGTGGTGAAGGCTGCACAGAAATCTGTTGGAATCAGTCTCTCCACCATCACAGACATCTACACCTCCAGATGCAGGAAGAGGGCCACCTGCATCATGAAGGACCCCACCCACCCAGCACACACACTTTTTGCCCCACTCCCCTCAGGAAGGAGGTTAAGGAGCATTAAGTGTAGAACCACTAGACTGAGGAACAGCTTCTACCCTGAGGCTGTTAGACTCATGAATCTCTAACTAGAATAATCACTGTGAAAAACCATATCATGTTGCTGCTGATCTGTTTCATGTTGCTGCTGATCTGTTTCAATGTCTGCTCACAGACTCATGTTCATGTTTGTGCTGATGTTCAATGTTTTATGTTATGAGTGCTTAGTGTATATTTAGTTGATGTTTTTCTTAGTTCATATCTTAGAGGTTATTACTGTTTTTCTTATACATTTTATTGTCGGATGTAACTGGGACCTTGTGTACATAATTTCGCTCCACCACATGTACCACATGAGGTGCGAATGACAATAAAGAAACTCTGACTCTGACTCTTTAATGCAGTAAGACCCGTTAACCCTCCTTCTGCCCTCAGGTCAGTATGCAGTAAGGCTCGTTAACCCTCCTGCTGCCCTTAGATAAGTATGCAGTAAGGCCCGTTAACCCTCCTGCTGCCCTTATATCAGTATGCAGTAAGGCCCGTTAACCCTCCTTCTGCCCTTAGATCAGTATGCAGTAACGCCCGTTAAACCTCCTGCTGCTCTTAGATGAGGATGCAGTAAGGCCAGTTAACCCTCCTGCTGCCCTTAGGTCGGTATGCAGTAAGGCCCGTTAACGCTCCTTCTGCCTTAGATCAGTATGCAGTAACGCCCGTTAAACCTCCTGCTGCTCTTAGATCAGTATGCAGTAAGGCCCGTTAACCCTCCTGCTGCTCTTAGATCAGTATGCAGTAAGGCCCGTTAACGCTCCTTCTGCCCTTAAATCAGTATGCAGTAAGGCCCGTTAACGCTCCTTCTGCCTTAGATCAGTATGCAGTAACGCCAGTTAAAACTCCTGCTGCTCTTAGATCAGTATGCAGTAAGGCCCGTTAACCCTCCTTCTGCCCTTAGGTCGGTATGCAGTAAGGCCCGTTAACGCTCCTTCTGCCTTAGATCAGTATGCAGTAACGCCCGTTAAAACTCCTGCTGCTCTTAGATCAGTATGCAGTAAGGCCCATTAAACCTCCTGCTGCTCTTAGATCAGTATGCAGTAAGGCCCGTTAACTCTCCTTCTGCCCTTAGATCAGTATGCAGTAACGCCCGT